CACAGCTAAAGAAATCACCAACTGTGGTTTATGTCTATAAGCCCAGCACTCTGGAAGCTGAGGCAGGATAATCACTGCAAGTTTGAAGCCAGCCTGGGGTTCAAAGTGAGTTCAAGTCCAGCCTGAATAATACGGTGAAACTTTGCCTAAAAAAAAAAAAAAAGACCTAAAAAGAAATAGAAAAAAAAAAAGAAAGAATGAAAGAAAGGAAGAACAAAAGAAAGAAAGAAAAAATTACCAATGGAGAAAAAAGAAAACTCACAAATTGGGAAAATATCTTAGTCAACTGTCCCTCAGACAAAGGACTTCTATCTAGCACATATATAGAATTGAAAAAAATCAGACCCCCAAAATTGAAAGACTCAATCTAAAAATGGGCATCTGAGATGAATATGCACTTCTCAGATAAATACAAATGGCAAATAATTACAATAAAAAGTGTTCATCATAGAGGGTCATTTGAGAAATGTAAATTAAAACAACGCTGAGATTCAAACTCACCCTAGAATGAATGACAATCATCAAGAAATCAACCAATAACAAAGGCCGGCACAGCTATGGGATCCCTCTCCACTGTTGGTGGGAGTATAGACTGGTGCAACTACTGTGGAAATTATTGTAAAAATTTCTCAAAAACTAGGATTAGCGGTCCCATTTGACCCAGCTATTTTCCTTCTGGGTATTTTCCCAGAACAATTAAAGACATCATATCACTGTGACATATGTACACATATGTTAATAGCATCACAATTTATAAACTCTAAATCTTGGAAATGATCAAAATATACATGAAATGAGGAGTGGATAAAAAGATGTGGTATTTTTATAGAATGGAGTACTACTCAGCTATAAAGAAGGATAAACTTGAGACTTTCATAGATAAATGGATATAACTTGAGACCATAATACAAGTAAATCAGACTTGAATGTGTAAACATCTTATTGTTTCTCTAGTGTTCTCTAATTACTCTCTGAAAGAGTAATTAATATCCAAAATATATGATAGATAGTGTGAAAGTGAAAGGGGAAGAAACTGCATAAAAGGAAAAAAAATCTGAGATATAGAAAAGGAGAAAGGAATTTCACTTGTTTAATCAATTGTGCATACCTAAATCTTGTAATCTGAGCAACTACTTTGAAAATAACAAAATAATGTATTAACTATTGTTAATCACCTATTATCTTGTTTTGAAATTCTGTCATTGTTTTTATTGCATTTTCTTTTAAGATAAAAATTAGTGAAATGATCCTTTTATCTTTAAACTGATAAATTGTGTAATACTACAATTTGAGTAAATTGTGCAGTCATTTCTGTTGATGTACTTAGAAAGCAGGCATTTGGTTTAATTTATAGAAACGAAAGTGGTTTGTCCATATGTTATGAATATTTTTCTTTTGAAGGAATTTGCCAGACTGACTTCTAAAAAGGTGGAATACGTACAGATAGCCTGCCCATGCATAAGGCTCATGTACACTGGCTAGTGTAAAATATTAAAGTCCCGCCACCAGGATGGAGGAATTTTGTTTTTTTTTATATGTATTTCTTTCACTATTTGTCAGATTGAAAACTACTTTTACAGAAAGATTTTCTTCATTTTATAGGTTTTAAATATTTTTATAATACTATTTTCTGTTATATGCTTTGTATCTCTTTCCAAAAGAGAAAGCACTTGACCTAAGCCAAGGGGGCAGTAAGCATTAACTAGGGGATGGGCTTGTTAGAGTGGGAACTGCTGATGTGAAGGCTCTGACAGCGTTCACTCGTTGGGCATGAGAATGGCCTCTACTGTGTGAGGATCAAACAGCTGGGAAGCCTCCACAAAAGCCATATGAGCTCAATGACTTCATCTGTCGCTCACCATCCTCTCCTCAAACCCTTGAATAAGGGTGGCAAGGGATGGGTCAGTACTAGCCAGGTACATAGAGTGAATAAATACTGCTGACTGTGGATGGCTGCAAGTCTCTGCACAATAACATGTTTCCTGGCGTCAGGAAATATTTGGTCATTGTGTAAGAAGACACAATCCTCCAGATTCGCCCTCACCTAATGGCAGTGGAGAAGTGGCCATTATGCAATCATTTCCGCTTCCATAGGGATAGAAAATGGTGAAGCATGTCCTACACTGATTCTCACAGTTCCAAATGATATTGCCTTCAGTTTTCCACATAGACAAAACCCTCTAGGTCACTAGGAGCCATCTAGTGTTCCCCAGAACACTGTTTACTTCTCACCTCTACTCGTCCTTGGGAACACTTCCTAAATAAAGTATTTCAGTATAAATCCTTTGCTGAGGACTATTTTGTGGAGAAACCAAGACAAAAGGCAAGTAGAAGCTAAATCAGAAAGCTGCTTAGGAAATTTGTAGTCTTCCCAGAGACAAAGAGAAAATATTGAGAATGAATAAGTAGAGTAACAGGACCAAATATGTATTTGCATAAGCTAATGCTGCTTGTTCTGCAGAGGTTGTATTTGAGGAAGATGAACTGGAGGATCAGTCACTGGGAGACAGCTGTGGGTAGGAGCAGTGTTATTGATATATTCCGGGAGTAGATACAGAAGCGTGAGTAATTTGTGAGGTAGCCAGAAGGGAGGATGTGCTAAGCAATGGCACAGTTAGGAATAGGGATGTGTCTGGGGCGTATTCCAGGTTGTATATTTGAGAGGTCTGTGTGAATTCAATCAGCAGAGCAGCACAGGGAGGAGGCAGCAAGAAGGAGACTGAGAGGAAAATTCTGTACTCCAGTGTGCTGGTTTGAACAATGTGTCCTTGACTAGCCTGCTGCCAATCTTCCATTTATTTCAAATGCCAAGCTGATTAGAAAACCATAGGGAAATTTTTATCTACAAAGAAATAGCCAAGGAATCTGTGGGACTGGAAATATTTTTGAAAGCTTTCTGCTATTCTTTAAAATCTATCTCTGCACAACTGTGAGAATCGTAAATTCATAATGTATCCGGAACTGTTGGAAAATGAGATACTCCTCTCTCCTCCACAAGAATGATTTCCAAGCTAACGGGAGTTGGTACACAGCAGGAACACTAACTCAGCCAGTCCCTGTGCAAAGTGAATGCAAGAATGGAGAGTGATTTTTATAAGGACATGAGAAACTGGTTCTATGCAAGCAGTTTGAAGATTATATGAAGGCAATGTGTATTTGTAGTTTGGGACAAGAAATCTCCTGTCAAGAGTAAATACATGTTCCCTACACTCATGGATCTGAAGAAGAAAACAGAGATCTCACACATTCACACACATACATAATAATTAGTAGAAAAATTATACCACATATTACAAATGGCTCAAGTATTTGAAAGGCTAGTTTCGCAATTGTAGATATTCAGAATACTTACTACAAATAAGTTTTTGTTTTAAATACACTGATATTTTACAAATACTGTATAGCTATACAACTTTGTCTTGCAGTATGCTTTTATATAATCTTGTTTACCTACAGGTAATGCATTAGAAGAATTTCAATTCTGTGTTATTCTTATCAATTTAACAATACACATTATTAATATTATTTCTATTGAAAAATAATTGTATATAATTTATGGACTGCATCATGATGTTTTAACAGATGAATACAATGCAGAATTATTAAATTAAGTAAATTAGCATGATCATCACCTTCCTTATCAATCACCTTTCATGGTGAGACATTTGCAATCTACTGTCTTTGATTTGTGAGACATGTATATTTCACAGCCTATTTCTACTAAGCCAAGAACATAAAAACAAATATGGTATGGTCAAACATCTGCGTGGAATCCACTCAAACTGATCTCATAGATGTAGAGAATAAAATGATAGTGAGAAACCAGGGAAGGGAGAGGAATGTGGAGGTATAGATCAAATGGTATGGTTTTGGATGGACTATCACCTCTTAATGTCTTGCTTTTAATTTTTATGTCTCTAAAATATATAAAAAAGCTATTTTAAATTCTATCAAAATGCCTAAACAGACGCTAAATAGAATAATATTTCATAATACTACTTGACTACATGCCACAATGAAAGGCCATAGCTTCATATTGAAATGTTGATATTTTCATTGATTTGAGTTTTAAATTCCATCATTCAACTTCCATTTCATGTTGTGTATATCTACTTGGTTTTCCTCTTTACTACCCTCAGTCACTATGAAATCAGTATGTTAAAAAATAAAGTTAGTTATAGATGTTCCTAAAATATAAGGGGAACCAAAAATCTTTATTTTACTTATCACTAATCAGAGGAATTCACTGCTTTTAAAACCACAGAATCACATTTTTCCAAACGAATAAAACAAAAACTCCTTGCAAAATTTCTGTAAGATCATGGATCTTTCGTTGCTCTTTTTTGATATACAGGTTAACTTTAACAAAATAGTTACTATGCATTAGATTTTGTATGTAACACATGTGTGGTATATACTATGTGCTGTCATGTCTTCCTCTTCTTCAATATGGATGCATGTATTTATTGCTTTGTTTATTTAGTCCGTTACTTATTCAGTCCCAGCCTCATGCCAAAAAGTACTCAGAGAAATATATTATTAATTCTATAAAATTATTTTTGTGCTTTGCTATCACTAATATTCTTGTTGTCCAAGTTTTTATTCTCTGTTAATGTCATGAGCAGCATAAATCTTTTATATTATTGAATTATATTAACAATTTTAAAGCAGTGTCTTTCCTGGAACTCGGTAAAAGAAAAGATTTTCTGGAACTACACAGATTGTGTAGTTTTTTTTCTCATTGTCATGGATCCCATGAGTGATAAAAACTGGACAAATATGCAGTGGAATCAGGTGTGGCACTAATTAGCCACAGTATTAAAACCAAAGCCATTTGAAAATGTCTTAAATTTCATGTTTTATGCTATGTGCTGCATTCTGCCTACCTTTAAATATGTGTGACAATAACTTGGCTGTGTGTGCTGACAGGTCACCTCTGTCTTCTGCCTCAGTGTCACTCATTCACCAAAGCCGCTGACACCCCTCTCCTTCCTCCTTAGCAATCCCCAGCTCCAGCGTCCTCCCTTCTGCTCCAAGAGATGTGGTCCCTGTCTTGGTTTCCAGTCGCTTCGTCCGTCTCAGCTGGCGGCCACCTGCAGAACCAAAAGGAAATATTCAAACCTTCACAGTCCTTTTCTCCAGAGAGGGTGACAACAGGTAGGTGCTACACATAGATTTCAGCATCACCTGCCCTCTCTTTGAATGTACCTGTGGGCTGATGGCCATAGAAATCTTAAGCAGGGATTTTGGAGACTGTGAAATCTCTGCTCTATCCTTCAGTCTTATAAAGTGCAGATGTGTGATTTGTAATAACAGGGTTGTTTACAGAATCAAATTAAACAATCTGCATATAACTTCTTTGAAAAGGGACTAGAATGCAGTCTTTTTTTTTAATTCCTTGATTTTCAAACTCATCAACAAAGAAGAGTATTAACAGAACAAAACAACTCTTGTGGCTGGTTCCTAATCCCAACAATGTCAGTACACAATTATATTGATGAAACAATGATTTTCTTTACAATCATTTTACTTTTAATGAGGAGAGATAGACAATATTTGCCTTGCTATTTTTTATTAGGATAACAAGTAATTGCATAAAGGTCAGAACAGAGTGTCTAGTATTTCATTAACTTGTTATTTTGAATATTATTATTAATAGTTCAAAATGAGCAGTGTATATCCAGTTTCAAGGTTACAATCTGCTGTTTCATGATTTTCCTCCAACATTTTCCCTTAAGGTACCTCCCTATATTAATATTTTGAAATTTGATTTCTAAGTCTTATATAGGTATTTGAGAAGTACAATTCATGTGCTAGTCTGTTTAACCTTTCACATGTATATTTCAGCACTTAGTGATCTAAAGCTCACCTTGGATTCAAAGAGGGGCATAGGCTGTGCTTGTCAGAGTGACCTAAAGTTGAAAATCAAGTGGCACAATGCAACTTTATTTGGACTGGGTCTCAGAATGCTTTCCTTTCTAGTTGGCAGCAGTGGTTAAAGTATATTCCAAGTTTTAATTTTTTTTTCAATTTGACCTGACTCTAAAATAAAAGAAACACACACACACACACACACACACACACACACACACACACGCATAGCCTTATGCTTGCTGATCACTTTTTACTGTGAAGAAGACTAGCCATTTGTTTTAGTCTTATCTCTATGAATGTTCAACTCCATGACCTTATGATTTCACATAAGTTCTTTGGCACTCATTCAGTGTGTGCAGTTATGAAAACTGGAAGTAATATTTCTTGTCTAAGCATTTTACATGGTTTTCCTGGAAGCATTCTAAATTTAACATTCCAGACCATATCCACTGTCTCCTCCTTAGATGTATATTTTCCTCTCCTTTTTGCTTTGTGTTGTTATCTTCCATCTAGGTGACCAAGCAAGAAGTCTAAGTCATAATTCTCTCCTGCTTGCTTCTCCACATATCTGTTCTTCATCAAGTCTTTTCGAGTCCACCTCTCCATAGTTCAGCCAGGCTTCCTCTTTCAATTTCCTCCACTAGCACTGACTTGGTCCCTTGAAATAGCGTCTCACCTTCTAATCCAGCTGTGGTCACTTTTTGAAATACACTCTAAACAAGTAGTGTTCAACCTGTGCTACAAAGGGCTCTGTATACACTGGAAACCCAAAAAGGTTCATCACCACTCATATAGACCATAAGCTACTGCTGAAATATGTGAATGTTCTTATGTTTAAATGTAACAATATATATATATATATATATATATATATATATATATATATATATATTTCCAAAATCTTTATAATGTAAGTCTACCTCAAGGTGTATTCAGTTAGAAATATGGTTCCTATAACCTATAATGAAAAATGTGACACTGTCCAAAGGACTGGGTTTAAACTTTTCACTATCAGATTTGTGATTTTTATGTATATTTTCATGTATTAAAGCATAATACCTCCCTTTCAGAGTGGATATTAAAAAAAATAAATACTATGTCTCAGTTTTGTTGTAAGAACTTAATGAGAGAATTCACCTAAAGCAATAGCCTATAGCATGTGTGCTGCAGTGGGCTGTTGGTATCATTAAAAGCTCTAAAAGGTTCCACATCATTGACCTAAATAATTCATGGCACTCATTTCAAATAGTCTAAGTAAAGGGGGCTGAGAATAACATGAGCTCAGAGATAATATGGAAAACAGGCTGACAGTAAGGTTCAGAGGATGGTAACTTGAAGGAGAGGAAGAAGGAGAAAAAGAAAGATGCTACTTATATTTTTGAGTAAACCATTTATTTTCTAACTGTTTGTGATTTCCTGCTTATAATACCATTTGACACTTTGCTTTTCTATAGAAAACTTTACCATTTTGCTTGTTCTTATGATGGTACCCTAGTGCTGTTTAACACTAATCAGTGCATCATGTATGTTGTCTCTTTCAAACATCATCATCATTGACTACTTTCCAGACTGACTCTCCCATCTTTTATTTAGATTGCTTCTCACAACAAACTTTTGCCTCCACAAAGAGCTACATTCTATGAATCCATCTGTGTTCACTGTTAGGGTTTAATGGACAATTACCGTAAATATTTACTCATACTCACCAACACAGTATTTGGGTTGTTACTTTCTAATTTCATACCACCTGTTTAGCAAACACTAACTTCAGTGTATAGATCTTTCCACTTATTCTGACACTCTTATAACTGAAGACAGCTGGGGGATAATGAGGGATGTCTCCCCTCACTTTGAATTCATAGTTAGTAATGTCAGGGTGCCTATTAATGCTGTCAGCATTTATATACATTTCTCTTGGCCTTTCTCACACATACTCTGAATATCCTACATGCCTTTTCTTGTCTCCTCATATGTTCAACACTTTTGCCCTTTCCTTTGCTCTTCCAGTTTCCTAGAAAATCAGAAGTCAGGTTTTATCAACATTCATATCTGATTCATCTACAAAGGTGTGTCTTTAAGCATATAATCTATCTTTCCTCAAATTTCTGTAAAACTCCCTGTGCTCTTATTAAGGTCAAACTTGCACTTTGTACTAGATCTTGTCGTTTCTTGCAGTGTGAAAGAATGTGGGCTTAGCCATTCTCCTCTCCCACATCTCGTTTTCCCCACTCAGTGGCATCATGTCTGTCATCATATGATAACAGAGTTGCGTCTTCTATTGAAACACATTCTTCCAATGCCCTCCCCTGCCACTCCATTCTCTAGCAGGTATCAAGCCAGTGTTTCCAGAATCATTTATATTCACTCCAGTATTTTTACCTCATATTCCAGGCATGATTTGAAATAACACTGCAACTGCCCTCTCTCCCAGGCTATCAATGAACTCCATGTTGATGAACCCAATAGTTAATTCTTGGTCCTCAGATTACTTGGTCATTAGCAACTTTTGTCCATTTGAACCAACCTCATTCATGATATTCAATTTTCAGTTTATTTACATTCATTATGCTTTCCTGATGCTACTCCAACCCTTACGACCATCATTTTCAGAATCTTTCACATTTAACTGTCAATCTCTCTGATCTGTGAATATTGAATTCTTCCAGGACTCAGGTCTGAGATCTCTTTTCAACCCCTTCATGGCTTTATACTGTATCAATGGGTTGATGGCTTCCAAATTTGTATCATTGATCCTTTTTATTTGCAGTCAGATTTCTTACTTGCTTTCTAAATGTGTCTCTGAGCATCTGGCACTTATCAAGAAAATAAAATACTTGCACTTCTTCTACCTCAGCATGACCCTGCCAAATATTTTTCACACCAGAGTTTTCACTAAGCTCATTGAAATCTTCACCTCTCTCACTAAACCAAAGTCATTGGAACGATTACTGTTTTGCACCCTATACCAAATTTATTCTTCAAGTATCATTAAAATATGCCCTGAATTAATGAAATAATGATACCTTGTGTTTGCATAAAATAATACAGAAATACTGGTTATAATTTCATATGTTGAACTAAGAGATGGAAATAAAGAGGTATATCAAGATATTTCAGTTTTATATGGTTTCAATTTTTGTAAGAAAAATCAAATCTAAACACAAGTCAAAACAGAACATATACAGGGTCTTATCATTATTTTTCCTTTCTTCCTGTAAATGAATTGTTTTACTAACCTCCAAAGGTTGATGTTACCATAGCTGATGAGTCAACCCTTAAAATTTAAGTTCAGCTTTATCCTTTCTCTGCTTCAAAATCCTCCAGTGAGCCTCTACCACTTTCAAAGATTTAGCAGACACCCTTGCTGCCTTGGGCCCCTGCTTCCTTTCCACCTTCCTTCCTTATTATTCTCACTATTCTTTTGTTTGTTTGCTCCTCTCCAGTCCTGCTGGCTTCCTTGGATTTGCTGAATATACCTGAGGTCCTTACTGCATAGATTTACACTTGCTGTGTCATGCACCTAGAATGTTCTCATCCCCTGGCATCTATGCAGATTATTCCTGAACCTCAATAAAATCTGCTAAATTTTCATCTTCTGTGGAAATCTCTCCTAGGTCCTAGTACTCTCTGTGCCCTTTATTAATATTTAGTGTCTATTACTCTCTACTTACTAATTTTGCTTCCCTAAACTCCTTCCTCCCTACCAGGATATAAGCTTCATGTGGGAAGGCTTGTTTTCGTGTCTTTTATTCACTGAGCTATTCTGAGCACCTAGAAAAACTTAATGGTAAACACTACTATGTACTTCCAAGTCACGATTCCTTTATCTCTCTTTTTTTCTCTTCCATCTCCCTTCATTACATCACTAGAATGAAATCTACAACTTTCTCTATATTTTATGTTCAGTTGAATATTTGTGTATTTCCTTTTGTGATTCCTCAAACTAGTCCTTATTCCCAATTCCATGCCTGACTATCTAGACAGAGATAGAACCTCAATAAAATCTGCTAAATTTCATTATGCGGCAGAGACAGATGTGACATTCTTAATAGGTTTTCACCTGCTAAGAAAATAAATTGTGTGTTTGGAGAGCATGAAAAGGTGATTGAATTTCAGGAAAAGTCTGTTTAATTTAGAAAAAATAAGAGTTGATATTGAAATTTTATTCTAATATCTCCATTCATTTTGTGTTTTCTGGTTCTCAGTAAGAGCAAATATATGCCGTATGCTTCTAATCAGTTAGCTGTAATGTTTATTTGCTCATGTAGTTTATTTAGCTCCTT